TCTGATCTGTACACTTAATGATCTTTCCTTCGTTGCTACCCACTACAGTTCCCTGCTGCCAGAGTAGCTTTCCTTTACTCTTGGTGGCTCCTCTTTAACTTTCATGGGAGCAGCTTTGACACTTGCTCATCTCTTGGAGTAGTTTGTCTACGAACATGACAGATCGATTTGACATACCATTTTTAAAAAGCTATAATTTAGTTATTTATTTAACACTTTTATACTGGAGTACCTCCTAGAGATCTAGTTGGTCAGAGCCCGGTTCTGCTAGGTGCTGTACAGACATAGAAAATCAAGTCCGTGTCCAAAGGGAATATTAGAAAATGGGGAGACCAGAAAATACTTTCTGCAAGTGGTTGATGACATCACAATTAACCCATAATGAGGGTTGTCAAGCTTTTAAAAAATAATTGCATAATTAATTGTGCTGTTAAACAACATGGTAATAGAATACCATTTATTTAAATATTTGTGGATGTTTTCTACATTTTCACATATATTGATTTCAGTTACAACACAGAATACAAACTATACAGTGCTCACTTTGTTTATTTTTGTTGCAAATATTTGCACTGTGAAAACAAGAGATGGTGTATTTCAATTCACTTAATACATGTCCTGTAGTGCAATCTCTTTATCATTAAAGTTGAATTTATAATGTAGAATTTTGTACAAAAAAAAACTGCACTCAAAAATAAAACATCAAACTTCAGAGCCTACAAGTCCACTCAGTCCTACTTCTTGTTCAGCCAGTTGCTCAGACAAACAAGTTGCAAGATATTTACTTGCCAGATGGGCTAACAATTCATATGTCCCTTCGTGCTTCAACCACCATTCCAGAGGAAATATGTCCATGCTGCTGATGGGTTCTGCTCGATAACTATCCAAAGCAGAGCAGACCGATGCGTGTTCATTTTCATCATCTGAGTCAGATGCCACCAGCAGAAGGCTGATTTTCTTTTTTGATCTTTCGGGTTCTGTAGTTTGCACATCAGTGTGTTCTTTTTCTAAGACTTCCAAAAGCATGCTCCGCACCTCGTCCCTCTCAGATTTTGGGCAGCACTTCAGATTCTTAAACCTTGGGTTGAGTGCTGTACCTATCTTTAGAAATTTCACTTTATCTTCTTTGCATTTTGTCAAAATCAACCTTCTGCTGGTGGCATCTGAGTCAGATGATGAAAATGAAGGTGCATCAGTCTGCTCTGATGTGGATCTGCTTTGGATCGTTATCGAGTAGAACCGCCCCTCGCAGCTCCCATTGGCCAGGAATGGGGAACCGCAGCCAATGGGAGCTTCGGGGGAGGTAGCCACAGGTGAGGGCAGCAGGTGGAGCCCTCTGCCCCCCTTTCTGCAGGGGCCACAGGGATGTGGTGCTGGCTGCTTCCAGAAGCCGCACGGGGCCAGCACAGGCAGGCAGGGAGCCTGCCCTGGCCCCACTGTGCGCTGCTGCCACCCCGGAGCCGGTCCAAGTAAGCAGCACTGAGCCAGAGCCTGCACCCCAACCTCCTGCCCTGACCTCCCTGCTGCACCCTGCCTGCACCCAACCCCCTGCCTGAACCCCCTCCTGCACTCTGCATCCCCTCCTCCACCCCAGCTCCCTTCCCTGAGCCCTCTTGTACTCCCCACACCCCCTCCTCTGCCCCAACCCCTTGCCCTGAGCCCCTTCCTGCACACTGCACCCCTGCCCAGCCCTACATTCATGGCTCCGCATGCAATTTCCCCACCCAGATGTGCCCCTTGGGCCAAAAAGTTTGTCCATCCCTGCTCTAGGCTTTTCCTAGCAATTAAGAACCAATGCAGTAACCAATAGGAAAATAAGACTTCATTCTCAGTATTCTAATAAGCTGATAATAAGCATCTTATTATCATTATACATCTCTAGCATTACCCCCCACCCCTTCTTTCCCAGCATAAGTTTAAATATAAAATATAAGGCTTGATTTTATTCCTCATTTTTTTATTAATGTTCAGTACAAACATAAAAACAATGCTATGTTTAATATTAAAGACTGTGGGACTATTTAAATTGCTTATAGGAGAACCTCTATCTGATTCAGAATTTCCTCGGTTACCTTCTCACCTATCTGAATATGACAGAGACACCTTACTTGTTCAACCTGAGGTAAAGGCCTTTGTTAATCATTTGATATCAATTAAGACTTACTGGTATTGAATCAATTTGATGGACTCAGCACTTTTGTCATTTAGTGTGTATATAATTATAAATAAAATATATGTATTTAATAACATTACATGACACTTCTCTTTGTGCAGAACATAGACTAATTTGTGTATTTTTATTTTTTTTAATTAAATAGGATATTGTAGAAAAGTGTCACATGCCTGGGGACCTATTTAATTTATATCTTCACCAAAACTATGTAGATTTTTTCACTGATATAGACGATCTTGTGAGAGCCAGTGAATACTTGAGTACTGCTGACTTCCTCTGTAGTAACTGGAATGTAAGTTTGATTCATTTTCACTCTTAATTTTCATATCCTGCAACCACATATCTGTGCATTCTTACTGACGTATAGTAAAATAAAATAACATAAGTTTTTACATTTTAGTTTATCTATAGCTATTCAAGTCTGTCTCCCGAGGGTGTAGGCATAATTGTTACTGCATCCTAAAATATGTGTACATGTTAACCAGCTGTACACATTTTTGGTATGCTTTGTAATAATATTTCCTACAACATACAATAGTGTGTACAAAATACTTGCCTGACGTGCTGTCCTTTTCGGTTTATGTTGAATACATTTTAAAAATTGGTTCAGAGAATATGCCTTTCACTTGAAATAACTAAGCCTGTTTATGCTTTCATCCTTTAATGAGTGTTCCAAACATGGATGAGTAGCTGCAAATTTACAGGAATATTTGCTCACCTTTATAGTCTTCCACAGTGACTCAGCAAATTTCACAATTTGCATAATATCATGTTTTGTTTTAGTCACGACCTACACTCAGAGAATACAGTGCATCTGTGGCCACAAGAGGTGTGATACATTCAAATACTGCTAGAGCTTTTGCCCATTGCCAAGGAGGAATGGGTTTTCGGCCTTTTCATAAACCCCAATGGTTCCTAATCAATAAAAAGGTAAATACTTCCCATTTAAGGTACTTTTGTTTAAATTTGGAAATGTAACTGCTGTGATTTGTAGTGTTGTTTATGAGACTATTCATGTTAGAAACAGTATACTAAACAAATATAGAAGTGTATGCGAATACTTTTTTTAATCAGTTTTCAGATATGTGTTAGGGGGCTTATTCCTTCACCCACTTACTTCCCTAGTCCTTCTCACATGAACAGAGAGCAGAAACAATACCCAAAGTCCAAAGGTGCAAACAATTCGATGTTTATTGGGGTGAACTTCCAGCAAGCATGATTCTAGTTTCCTTCCTTAGTGTCCCCCTTCCCAGCTCTGAAACCACAGAGCCTTACACCTGTGTCCCTGTTCCCATTCCTGCCCTTAGCCAAACATGATTCCCATTTCCGCCACCCACACACCCACCCACTCACTTCCTGATTGACTGTAGACTATATAGTAAAACTTGAGTTCTGCTTAGCTATACCTTTACCAATTATTTTCCTGAAATTTAACTAACCAATCCTAACACATTTTAACATGATTATGTAACCACTTATATTCCACCACCTTAATTAGTTTACACCCAGCAAAATTAATTATACAGCAGACAGAAACAATCACAGAACCAGACAGAGATTATACAGACAAACAATAGCAAAGTGGGAACTATAATGACAAAACAATACAGAAGTGTGGATTTCACATCCCAGCTATTGATAAGTGAGTTCTTGCCAGACAGGATGTTATCGAACTAAGTTTCCTTTTACATCTTCGAGGCCCTCCCTTTCTCTGGAAGCGATAGGAATACGCTCCTGTCCTGATAATGCCTAACAGCCCAATAGCACCTTTCAATGTGACTAGTTTGGAATGTGAGGATGTGACCGGTCACTTCCCAGCTTATGGCTGCCTCTGTTGCTTAGCCAAAGGCCTTAGCCTAAGAACAGGGCCTCAGAGTGTCACAGTAAGAGAAGGACCTTACACCAGCAGACAGTGATTTTGATTCTTTTATACCTCTATAACTAGCCAAGTGATAAGAATACACCTACATTCTTAAAGGACAGGCCTTTACAGACAGGCCGGAATATCTATATCCTAACAATATGGACTTATTTTCTACTAATTAGAAAATAACTAGAGGTCCCAGAAAACAGCCTGTTTTCCACCCAAAATGAATATATTTCTGAGATCCTTGAAATTCAAATTCATACAGTACAAAATTAGTGCAAAAGAAATATAATGAAGTGTGTTGTAAATGAAATCAAACTCATGCCCCTTAAGCTGTCTTAGTCTGATTTGTAAGATGGACAATTTTTGATTCCCTTACTGCCTTGCCTTATGTGTTTGTGATAAACAGCTCAACTATAAGATTACAAGGCTCTTGAAAAAAATTTGTACTTCATTTAAAAGGTGCCTTATTCTGTCTAAAAAGTGTGAACGAGGCATCCTGTAATTCAGTTATAAGAATCCTCGGGAAACTTGCAAGAGAAACACAAGACAGATTTGAAGGAAATAAAATTAATAATTTTTTTTTTTTTTTAATTCAACCTGGTTGCTTATCTTTTGTCTGAACCCTCACCCCTTAATGGCTGTTTGAAGAACAGTCCAGTAGGCTAGGACAAGGCTTATTATGCTGTTTTGTATGATGTGGAATGTTCGGGTGAACATTCATTCCTGTTTTTAGCATATCGTGGTAACCTACATAATTATACTGACAAAATAACAAAGCTTTCAGGTAGTATGTTTTCTCACTTGTGGGTTTTGTGTTTTTTTTTTTCCCCCAACCTTTTACAGTATCAAGAAAACTGCCTTGCTGCAAAATCTCTGTTTTCAAGTTTCTGTTTATCACCTTTATGCCTTCAAACCCAGCTGTTGCCTTTTCTTGCCATGCTGACAAATCCAATGAGAAACCCAGGTAGTATAAACATAACTTTTTTGTTTTAAATTAAAAAATAAGTTTAAATTTCTATCCATAATACATATGGAAGGTTCTTGTGAGCCAAAATCAGAACACAGTCTGCAGTGTTGCCTAGATAAGAAAACAGCACATTGTGGAATAAATAGGTATGTGTAAGACTTCCAGATCTATTTTTAGCAACATCATTTCAAGCCCACAATGCTTTATTGGCTTAATGTTACTTAAAAGATATTTTAAAAATATTATTTTACACCAAAAGAATTAAAACAAACCTTAATATACATGTGAGAGACAGTTTGTTTTCAGTGCACCATAAATACACATGGTGCTTTACATATACGCAAGACAATGACCCTGTGCTGAAAAGTCTCTAATTGAAGAGCCCGATCCTTCTCCTTGTTTGTATTCCTTCTGATTTCAAGCATTAGGGAGTAACATTTTGCAGGATAGGGTTCTATATGTCCCAATCTGTTTCACAATTTAGGTCCCACTCAAATACATAGTAATTACTTGGACTGTAAGCCATTTGGGAGACGGACCATCTTTTTGTATTGTTCATGCAAAGCCTGGCACAATGGGATCCTGATCCATGACTGGGGGTCCTCGGTGTTACGTATATCTATATATAATATATAAAGTGATAAATACTAAATTATTTTGGTTCTTCATAGTACTTGTCAATGTTCTACATTTTCTGAGCTATGTCAATTAAACATGGACCGATTTAACAGAAGATACTGAATTCTCTGTAAGAGAGGCCAATAAATACGTTTAACTAGGTTAAATCCTGCTGTCCCTTTTACTTCAGATATTTCTGGAAGACTCATATACCTCAGTCATTCACTTTAATTTAAAAAGTTGTATCACTGTGTAAAATAGTAATGTAGATACAGAACTGCCACCGGGATCACCATATAGCAACAAAATTTTATATTAGTTTGAGTCCAGTATACTTCCCTGTGTGAGTAAGGGGTTACAGATATATCCCAAATGTTCTTAAATGACAGGATATTTGGGTCTCTTTCTTGTGTTGAGGTAATGCACATAGCCATAAACAAGGTGACTCATTTGAACAGGAGTTCCTTGCTTTTGTATGGCATCTCCAGATTACGTATTGCTATTGAGGTTTTGTACTGCAACCTAATCCTTAATCCGGTTCACTTCATATGGCAGGGGTCGGCAACCTACGGCACGCGTGCCAAAGGCGGCATGTGAGCTGATTTTTAGTGGCACTCTGCTGCCAGCTGGGGTCCTGGCTGTTGGCCCCGCTCATCCCGCTGCCGGCCTGGGTGGACGGAACCCCAGGCTGGCAGCGGGCTGAGCAGGACCGGTGGCCGGGACCCCAGGTCAGCAGCTGGGACTCCAGACTGACAGCGGGATGAGTGGCTCAGCCCGCTGCCAGTCTGGGGGTCCGTCTGCCGGCTCCTGCCAGCTGGGGTCCTGGCTGCCAGTCTGGGGTTTCGTTGGGGGAGCCCTGTAAATGTAAAATTTATTACTGGCACATGAAACCTTAAATTAATGAAGTCTTGGCATGCCACTTCTCAAAGGTTGCCAACCCCTGTCATATGGAAGACACTGTTAGTTTTTCCCAATGAGATATATATTTTGATTGCTTTCATTGCACCTCTGCATTCTTTGACAGTACTTCCATTTACTAGTGGATAAGCCAAAAGGCTGAAAGCAGAGTATCTTATCGAAGTGCAGAAATCTGATTATACTATAATAGGAAATCAGAGAGGGTCATGATATTGCTGTTTATAGTAGAAGTTTAGCTGCCCACTTTATTTGAGGTTTAGACAAAATAAGTTGTATCTTCAACAATTCCATTTTTTCATTTTCTGGCAGGTTTAGGAAATGTGTTTTTTCTTCCATTTGTATGGAGAGTATGGGAAATATGAGGCCACTCAGTTCAGGAAGTTGATGGCAATCTCAGTCATTTTATTTAGAATAAAATTATTTGTGACATATCACAAAGTTCATTGTTTGGACAACGGGATCCACTTATTAGATATTGAACTAGATACCTTTAAGCATACATAAACCTGAGATAAGGCCCTTCCAGTTTCAAGATGAATTCATCCTGAAGGCTATCTGAATTGGTTACTATAACATAATTACAGATGCATGCATAGGATAAAAAATCCCAGCCAGTTTATTCATTGCTAGTCCCTAATTTGATAGGTGTATGGCATAATACATTGTAAAAATTCATAATAGTATAACTTTAACTACAATACCAAAAAATCTTGCAGACATTTACAAGATTAGTGAATTACATTTTTATTTTTCTTGTGTGCTTTATTTTATGTGCATTATGACCAGTCCAAGATGACAGTGATTCTATCTTTATTCTCAGCTCAGATTGCCTTTATCCAGGATGTTGGAAGGCTTCCCTTGAAGAGACACTTTAGAGGGTAAACTTAAATCTTATTTGTGTTAGAAAAGTCCCATTCATGTTTATACATTGAAAATCAAAGATATTCTACAGTGCATCATCTTTCCTGCACATCATCTCCAAGATCAGCAAGGAAATACCTCTTCACACTGGCAAAACAGTCTCTCCAGCTCATCATCTCCTACCTTGGCTACTGCAACCTCCTCCTCTCTGGCCTTGATGTCTACAACCTGCCACCACTCAAATTCATTCCAAATACTGCTGTTAAGATCATCTTGCTGGCTTGTCACTCTGACTATATCCTCTCCCCATTGGCTTCCTCTCTTCCACTGCATCAAATGCAACCTTGTGCTGTGCCTACTACCATGGGGACGTGACCTGGTTGAGGCTTGTGTGTTACTAAATGTTAAATGAGTACAAATTAACTTACGAAAGCCAAAAAGAAGAGTAAAAATTATTCTGTCCTTTTACTCCTCACATACTATGAGATCACCCCTGACATTTTGACACAGCACTATATTAAGTGTAATATTAGATGAGCGAGAAAGATGATATAAAACAAAAACTATTCTTTTCTTTGAAACAGTTATACATTTATAAAATTATGATCTATTGAGAAAGTGATTTCAAAGTATTCCTATTACTTTGAAGTTAAAAACATTTTTTTAATATATATCATGGAATTTTATACTATTGCTGTGTGAATATTTGGGAACTATTTTTGAATATAAAATAGGCATAAGTTAATTTATAGTAGGCTTATGATTTGTACTATATATGCAGTTATGAATTTCCATTGTCTGTGTTCTAAAAATCCTTACATAAGGGAGACAAATTGATAGTCACAGGGACCAAAATCCTACTTATCCACAGAACATGTAGAGCTCAGACAGTGACACTGCAGCCTATCCCATACTTTGAGATCATTGGGCCTCAACTAAAGGACCTATTTCTGACAGTTAAGTTTCCATAACCTCTCAGTCCTTGATCTCTGAGACCAGCAGTTTTAAATGTGATGTGTTGGTGATTTTTTTTTGGTTTTGGGGGGATTTTTTTGGTGATATGTGAACTTGATCACAAGAAACTGGAAAGAGATTATTAAATCACTTGACCTATCAAACTGTTGATCACTGAACAGATCAGATGGTTATGATTTTGACCCTCTACCTACTTTCACTGAATTTAAAATAGTGACTCTGAAGTGAAAGCGTCTATTCCCATGTTTCCCAAGAAATGTAATTTTAGAAATAAAAGCCATTTAACTTAAATAGATTACGGGAAAAGCACCCTTGCATTCCCACTGACTGATTAAAAATTGAGAAATGTACTAGTCTCACATTATTTTTAGACTTCTCTATGGAATGTCTCTGTCTGAAGCAGACTTTTAAGAGTGTGATAATCCATTAATACCTGCATTATTGGGTATTGCTGTAGTATTTTGAGACGGGTTTCACCTGCAGGACCACTTCCTCTTGAGGGGAAAAAAAATTTCAGGTTATAGCTCATTAAGTATTTTTGGAGATGGGGTAAGGGGAAAAACATTGGTTTACCATTTTAATGCCATTAAATACATTAATATATATTAGTAATGCTATGTTAAGTATTGTTGGAGCCTTGTTGGTCTCAGGATATGAGAGATACAAAGTGAGTGAGGGAATACGTTTTATTGGACCAACTTCTGTTGGTGGGAGACAAACTTTTCGTCTCTTCCACCAACAGAAGTTGGTCCAATAAAAGATTGCCTCACCCACCTTGTATGTCCCATGAAATATATTGACACTGGTAAAGCATTTGGTACTGTCATGAAATTCTAACATAAGAACGGCCATACTGGGTCAGACCAAAGGTCTATCTAACCCAGTATCCTGTCTGCCAACAGTAGCCAATGCCAGGTGCTTCAGAGGGAATGAACAGAACAGATAATAAAGTGATCCATCCCTTTTTGTCCATTCACAGCATCTGGCAAACAGAGGCTAGGGACACCATCCCTGCTCATCCTGGCTAATAGCCACTGATGGACCTATCCTCCATGAATTTATCTAGTTTTTTTTAACTCCGTTATAGTCCTGGGTCTTCACAACATCCTCTGGCAAAACATTCCACAGATTGATCGTGTATTGTGTGAAGAAATACTTCCTTTTGTTTTAAATCTGCTGCCTATTAATTCCATGTGTTGACCCCTAATTCTTGTGTTATGAGAAGGTCCCAGTCTTAATCTCTCTTCATATGGAAGCTGTTCCATGCCCCTAATCATTTTTGTTGCCCTTTTCTGAACCTTTTCCAATTTCAATATCTCTTTTGAGATGGGGCGACCACATCTGCATGCAATATTCAACATTATTGAATACCATGGATTTATAGCGGGGCAATATGATATTGTCTGAACCTAAAAAGAAAACTAATTCATGTTGCCTAGGATAGGACCACTGTCATGGGTAAAGACTGTAAACAAAGAGTTAATATATATTAGTTTATCAGTTGGAAGTGTCTAGTGGGTTACTATGGGGATAAGCATTAGGACCAGTCCTGTCAACATTTTTAATTATCTGGAAGAGGTAAAAAAAAATCATGTTTCACCAATTAATATCATCTCCAGTTTCCATTAAGGTGAACACCAATCATGACATTGTAGTAATACAAAGAGACCTAGATTAGAAACATGATCAGAAAAGCAAAATGAGAAATAGTAATCTCTTCCTTCCCCCTTTCTGATCTTTTATACCGTAATTCCGTAAGGGGCAGGGAACAATGCCATCTTCTGTGTTTGGAAAGTGTCTAGCACACTGTACGCACTGCTAGAAATAAATAATTCAACTTGTAACAGTTTACATTTTTAGGCAAAGTAATCCAACCACAAATGCGTCATGGCAGAGAAAAATCTAAAGTACTAAGGCTAAAAGAGACTTAAGGGGTGAAGCAGAAAATGTAGCAATGTGATATCCTTTAAAACCAGCTATTTGTAGTTTTGAGCTGCGTACGCAAATGCAGCACTTAAAGAGCAAGGAGCAAGTACTCCTATACAGCTCTGGTGTAAGTGCACTTGCAATGTTGTGTTTAGTTTTGGGGGGCAAATTTCTGTAACTGGAGGATGCACAAAGAAGAGCAATACAAATTATTAGAATTACTGATTTAGAAAGGAGGAGAATGTATATTTTAGCTATGGTTATAACAATGCAAATATTTTGAAAGCTGTAAATACCAAAGAAGAAAAAGGATTATTTGGTGTGATAGATACATGGGTGACTTATTCCATTTCAACTTCCATGATCTTGTGAAAGAGAGTGCTTCATTTTATTTTTTCTTGTTACTGATGGTGGTTATGATTTTGCAGGTTAAAGCTTGAAACTCTTACAGATAAAGATCTTGGTATGCCAGGCTTTGAAAATATTGACGAAGGGGACCTTTCTGCCACACAGCCTCTGGAGGTGCTAGTCCAGTTGGAGAAAAACCAAATAAATGAGACTGAGCCAGATGAATTTCCTCTTACTTCCAGCCAGGCTAGTGGAAGCGAACTACCAGGTAGTCAACCCCAGCCTATTACAGCACAAGCAATCATGGAGGAAGATGAATTAAAAATAGATGAATATGATAGCAACTGAGTGCAACAAAATGGCAGTGGCATTGGTCTAACATTGTTTAACGGAATTTTTTTTTACTTTGTGGTAAAAGTCTCTTCCTTAACTAGATTGTAACAAACAAATGATGTATTAAAGCGTGGACCAATTCTATAGTAATTCTACCTTAATATTCCTGTGACTATTCACATGAGAGTATGCTACAGCCTTAAGCCCAGTGTGTACTGGGGGAGTATCAAGATGCTAAACTTCCTTAACTTACCTTGACATTGCAGTATCGAGCCCCAAGTGTGTGTACTTAATCAAAGGTGTTGCTCCCTGCCTGTCCTGAGCCATCAAAGTAACCTATATTTAAACAAAATTAAAATTATAAATGAGCTGAAATATTTGAGAGAAAATTAATGGTTACTAGTAAATCACATTTATTTTTATATTTACACTTTTTTTAATTTAATCTTGCAGTTTCTGGGTATACCTTGTATACTTTTTTGTCAGCACTGTGAGGTTTTACTAAATCTCACGTACTTCTTAAGACATTTACTATTGTTTTGAAACCTTCTGAGGGAAGAAAGAATAAAATGTAAATTGTAAAAAGTTAACTCAGTATTGATGTAAATAATGTTGCTGTTAAAATTTTGTACTTTTGGCTAGATACTTAATGTATGTTTATAAACAGATGCATATGTTGTAGATTATTTTAGTTTTGTTTTTTTTAATAATTGCATAATCAAGGAATACGCCATTACAATTAAGTGCTTTGTATTCTTTAGAAAATTAATAGTTTATCCTGAAGACATTTTTTCCTCTAAATGACATCTAAATTCAGATATACTTTACGGAAGAAGAAAAGGAGTACTTGTGGCACCTTAGAGACTAACCAATTTATTTGAGCATGAGCTTTCGTGAGCCACAGCTCACTTCATCAGATGTGAAAGCTCATGCTCAAATAAATTGGTTAGTCTCTAAGGTGCCACAAGTACTCCTTTTCTTTTTGCGAATACAGACTAACACGGCTGTTCCTCTGAAACTTTACGGAAGGTATCTATTTAAATAAATAAAATCCTGTGTTATGGATAAATGAGGAGATATAGGAATGTAAGTATTCTTTATGAATAGACCATAAAACAGCATATGAAGGTGAAAATTTGTATATCCTTAGTACAGCAGTAAATAATAGAGTTGCTTGATCTGTTCTTATACTGAAATTTCATCTAGCCATCCCTCTAATCTTAATAGTGGCCTAATCCTAGGGTGACCAGATATCCCATTTTTAAAGAGACAGTCCTGTTTTGGGGGACTTTTTAATATAGGCACCTATTATTCCTGCACCCCCTGTCCTGTGTTTTCACAGTTGCTATCTGGTCACCCTACCTAATCTTCCATACTCAGGGGAACTTGTGCTTGAGTCAGGACGACAGGTCAGGTTTACTCAGCGCAAGGCAAAGTTTCAGCTACAGCAGTAAACACAGAGCATATCCATAGAGCATGTTTTAACTCATGGTGTTCAAAGGCTTACGATGGTCTCACTTTAAAAGCTTTCATTTTCTATATTTGGCAATCAGCAACCAGAAATCAGCTACACTATGGCCCTTTATAAGTGTTATGGCTGGAAAACACTGGCTCTTTTTATCTTAAAAGTAGGAAAACAGGACTGAGTATGTTAACATGACAATTTTCTAATTTTCCATTTAAATAGAAACATGTATCTCTTCAGAATGTAAGCAAACTTGAGACAGGTTCTTCAAGATTGAGAAAAGATATCACATGGAAAGTGATCATTCTATGTTTTAGAAAAGTTATAAGGCATTACAACGTTGAAACCATCTTTTTGTTAGTCTCCTAATGAACATGAATGCAGTAGTTTATTACATCATTAGTACTCCAGTATGTTTCTAGGGGCAGGGGAATGAGATACTAGTAACTAGTGCTTAGGTTTTGCTCTGTGGTACCTTGAAGGTATGGGGTGCGCTCTTGTTGTAGCTCAAGGCAGGAGCGGTTATTGGCCGCACAAGCTTCATTCTCAGCTCTCCCCGCTCCCAAGGCATGCCCCTTTACATGGCCTTCAGCGTCTTTCACCTCGCTGCCACGCAAAGGAGCCTTGGTTTAGTTGAAAGAAAAGTAGTACTTGGGGCACCTTAGAGATTAACAAATTTATTAGAGCATAAGCTTTCCTGAGCTACAGCTCACTTCATCGGCTGCATACAGTGGAAAATATAGCAGGGAGATTTTATATACACAGAGAACACAAAACAATGGGTGTTACCATACCGACTGTTACAAGAGTGGTCAGGAAAAGTGAGCTATTACCAGCGGGGGGACCTTTTGTAGTGATAATCAAGGTGGGCCATTTCCAGCACTTTACAAGACCAGTAGGAGGGGAAATAAACAAGGGGAAATAGTTTTACTTTACTTTAGTTTGCAGCCCAGGGTAAAGCAGACTCAGGCAGGTTCCCTGGCCTCACCCGCCCCATAACAGTTGGGATTTACTGCCGGAGGCTGGCGTGAGGACGGGTCCGTAGGTTTCTCGCCGCAGAGGGAGCCCGGCAGGCGGGGGCGCAGAGCGCTGCCGTTCAGCGTAACTTACCGTCTCTGCCCCCAGGGCAAATGGCGCATGGACGGGCCAGGCCGAGCAGGGCGCAGGTGCCCGCGAGGCCCGGGCTGGAGGCGGGGCCGGCAGGTGAGTTCCCGGGGCGGGGCTGGAGGGGATGGGCGGTCGCCTGACTCGAGGGGCGGGAGCGACCCAGGCGACCGCGGATCCAAGCGGAGCGGCCCGGCCCGGCCCGACCCCACAGCGGCTGGGCGTTGTGCGGCGGGGCCGTGCGCGGAGCTGAGAAGTCGCTGGCGGGACGCGGAGGCTCGCGGTGAGCGGGGCGGCCCTTTGTCTGGCCGGGGGGAGAGGCGAGGAGGACAAGGGCTGTGCAGGGGCGGAGGAGCCGGCTCTTTGCAGAACCCCTTGCAGAATCGGGGCCCAAGACCCCCTGCTCCTGGGACTCGGTGAAACAGCGGCCAGAGAAGTGCCTCGTAGGTCTCTGCGCGTCACTTGATTGGGACGGGCTCGGTATAAAATCCCTGGAGTTTAGTTTATAGGCAATTAAACACTTCCCCACGCTTCGCTCTTAGACCTTGCATTGTCAACGTGAAATGGCTGCTGCGGTCATTGTTGGTTTCTCTGCGTTACCTTCGCTGTAACGCTAGAGGATAAAATATGAAGCATGATTGTTTCCAGGTGGAATGGGTTTATTTTTTTTCTAAAGTGTTGGCCTTTCTTTGAAGAATGCCCCAGTTTTGGTGGGGTTGTAAGTCTGTCGAGGAATAGTTTTTATTTTTGGCTTGTTCAGTGCTGAGCCCGTTGTTGGTGTTTAACAGTTTCTTCAATGATGTTTGTAGGAACCGCAGGTGAAGTGGGAAGGGGATAACTTATAAATATTCATACAATTATCTAGGTGTTCCTAGAACAGGAGATCGAATCACAAATGTCTTCCAGAAGTGCGTTGTCGCAGCACAGATCGAGGGAGCATGGCAGAGCTACACAATATGATGAAGTATACGTGGATTCCTCTTTTTTGGAAGATACAGCAAGTCTGCCTCAAAGTTCACAAAATGATGAACTGCTACTGAGTGTGGATGCCTTGCCAGCACCACCTCTCCCACTGCAACCACCTCTCGGCCCTGAATTGTACCCAAGTGATCAAGAAGAACCCTCTGATCTCAAACCAGTCAGGCGGTTCATTCCAGACTCCTGGAAGAACTTCTTCAAAGGGAGAAGAAATAATCCAGAATTGGATAAGCCAGCATCAGATATAAAATACACTTCTGGTGGAGTTGAGTGTTCTCCACCAGCGTCTCCAGTACAGCAAAACCACAAGTCAGCTGCTAGTTCTTATAAAGACCCATATGGAGGGTCAGGTGGAAGCTATAATTCACGCAAAGAAGCTGAAGCCATGCTTACCCAAGATCTTTATCCCTCCCTAGAACGACATACTCAAATGGCTCTAACTTACAGTGAGAAAGTGGAAGCTTATAATTTGAGATACTCCTACATGAAATCATGGGCAGGTTTACTCAGAATTCTGTGTGTTGTAGAGCTGCTTTTAGGTGCAGCTGTCTTTGCTTGTGTCACAGCCTATATACACAAAGATAATGAATGGTACAACATGTTTGGATACTCACAGCCGTATGGTTTTACAGCAAACAGTATATATGGAGGCTATTATTATAGTGGCCCCAAAACCCCTTTTATACTTGTTGTAGCAGGCTTGGCTTGGTTAGTGACCATAGCGCTTCTAGTGCTTGGCATGTCAATGTACTATCGAACTATTCTTCTGGACTCGAATTGGTGGCCTTTAACTGAATTTGGAATTAATGTTGCATTATTCATTCTGTATATGGCTGCTGCGATAGTCTATGTGAATGATGCTAACCGAGGTGGACTCTGCTATTACCAATTATTTAAAACACCAATGAATGCATCATTTTGCCGCATAGAAGGGGGACAGACAGCAGCAATGATCTTTTTGTTTGTCACAGTGATTGTCTATCTTATTAGTACAGTCGTTTGCCTAAAGCTATGGAGACATGAAGGAGCAAGGAGGCATAGAGAATTAATGGAACAAGAGGTAAGTCAAAAACTATCAGATCAAACTGATTGCATCAATTTTCTTGTGTGCATTTAGAGTGCACGTTGCAAGGTGGGATTAAGTAGTAAACATTGGGTTCCAGTTATCATTGTGCCTTGGGCTAACTGTTACGTTCGGCACGTCATCTTGGTACTAGTTTTCCCAACTATACAACAGGAATATTTACCCACTTTTGTAATATTCTGAGCTCCCTAAAGGAAAGTGTCACATTGCAAGGTGCATTTCAGACCAGTGAGGGGTTGTGTCACTGCCTGCCCTCAGTGCTTAATTTGTAATGAAAGAGGTGCTGGGGCCCAAGCAATTTTTTTTTTTTTTTTTACTTTCATAACGATGCAGCAACCCCGGAGGTGCCAGGGCTATGTACTGCCAAACCCAAAGGTGCAACGAGCCGCCCTGGCACAAATGAAGCACTGCCTGCTCTGTAATCTTGGGTGCCTCACAATGCTTTGCTGCTGTCGTTCTCAGCTAGAGCAACTCACAAACAGCTAAACAGCCTGCAGGTCACACCCTGAGTTTGTCTGTGTAGCTGCAGCTCTGGTCCATCAGCTCAGACCCCAGCAGCCTGTCAGCAGCATCCAGTCACACTCTGGCCTTAGTTATTATTTGCAGGTGATCCCAATACATTTCCAGTCCTGAATTTCAGATAGTAAAGGTCCATTGCCCCTGTAAAGAGTCAACATTGAACAGTTTGCTACTTTAACCGGAGTTACCAAACGGTTCAGTTTAAACACAGCACTGAATTAGTTTAGATGAATAATAAAACAAGTTTATTTTACTACAAATAGAACGATTTTAAGTGAGTATAATGCATTAAAGTCAGAAATAGTTACAAGAGAAATAAAGATAAAATGCTTCCTAGTAGCTGAAATTTAACAAGCTAGACTTGGTTCAAAGTAAAGTCTTTACCACGTTTCCAGCAACATGGCTGACTAAATTTTAGGTCACACCCTTTCCCGCCAGCCCCCACAATTCAAAGGGGTGGTTCCTTTTGTCCTCTTCGGTGAGAGAGAGATTGGGGTGTGTTTGCCTCTCACTTCTGTAGTTCAGTAATCCTTTGAAATGCATTTTCCTGAGGTTTACCCCTAGATAAAGTTCATTCCAGCTGTGAGAAAGGAGATGTGAAGTGAAAGAAGTTCCCTGCTGTTGTTTGCCGAAATGCAAGTCGCTCTGTGCCTGACCTTGTTCTTTGCCAGATTGCTGATCAACTTTAATGACACTTGGCTGGAGGTGTCACCTTGTCCTTTCTTTGAGAAACCAGTTACCCTACAGCAGTGGTTTTCAAACTTTTTCTACTGGTGACCCCTTTCACACAGCAAGCCTCTGAGTGTGATCCCTGCTTATATGTTAAAAATGGGGGAGGGGGAGATAAATGTAATGGGGGCTGGGAGCTGTCAGCCCCAAGGAGCTGATAACTTGCAACCTGCATGTAACCACTTTGCGACCCCCCTGAGGGGTCAAGACCCCCAGTTTGAGAACTCCTGCCCTAGAGTTGTCTTGTAAACACATTGTTGGCATAATTTCAGTTTATGTTAATAACTCTTAATACGTATTTCATACATACTTTACATAAGAATATTGATGATTGTGTTATAAATTTTTAACAAGGCATATTTTGCACAATTATTACAGTAGTGTGTAGGGTTTGAATACAGGGGTGGTCACAGAAAGGCACTAGCAAAGCACCTGATCCAGCATCCATTGAAGTCAGTGGTAGTCTTTCCATTGATTTCAGCAGACCTTGGGTCATGCAGTCACATGGAAAATATTGAAGTACTTTCCCTAAGTCAGCTGGTCAACTGCTTCTTAGTACATACTCTCTTCTGAAAAAAAGATAGGGAAGAATATAGTATAAACTGACTTACTTTAACACTTTAGTAGGAGGCCTTAAAGCAAATGAGCCTTTGAAGACAGAACTTTCAATTTAGAAGTTTGTCAGAGCTACTCTAAGGATATTAGAAACTGATTTTGTGAAGTGTGCGAAATACCAGACCACCACTCCTGACATATCTATGCATTTTCAGCTTTCCTCACACTACTAATTCAACACTGTGTTCTTGGATCTGAGAAGCCAAAGCCAAGCCTAAGTATTTGTCACTTATGTAATGATAAAAAGAAAAGGACTTGTGGCGCCTTAGAGACTAACAAATTTATTTGAGCATAAGCTTTCGTGAGCTACAGCTCACTTCATCGGATGTGAGTGATGAAGTGAGCTGTAGCTCACAAAAGCTTATGCTCAGATAAATTTGTTAGTCTCTAAGGCGCCGCAAGTCCTCCTTTTCTTTTTGCAAATACAGACTAATACGGCTGCTACTCTGAAACCTGTCATGATGTAATGATGTTTCTCTGATATTTAGAGTAAGAAAGGTTGGCAATTTTTTAAATACAGAAAGCTAGATAACTGAGTGCTGCTTTTTACTGGTTTCCTATGGTCTGGATATCCTGTGTGAAACAAAAAAAACTTTAATGCATTAGTCCTTAAATTCTAAATCAGTTTTCAGGTCTGTTCCTGCAAGCCCTTTCTCATTAGCATATTTACACTGTTTGTATGCCTTGTAGCTCTTGTATTAAAAAAAATCATAATTCTTGATTTACCATGGTCAAAAATCATAATTCTAGTTATTTTAGCAATGTTGGGCATAGGTGGAGTGGCTTAAGGCTTAAAAGGAAAAAAAATCCACTGAAATAAAATATATTTTCATTATGCAGCCTACAAATCTGCTATAAAGCATCATGCTGTAACTTTGATAGAGTTCAGTACAAATTATGTTCTAGGGGCTCTAAATATAAGACTGCAGGATCACTTGTGCTCTGTTTCAACTATTTTGCAAATGGATTCGCAACATATTAGGAACATCCTTTATTATTAATTGCTTAATCTCCTATCTGGTGGATGATAACAGAAAATTTGTTTTATTTTTGCTTTATCAGCTAAAGCATTCCAAGTGGGTTGTGCAAAACATGATCAAATTGAAACTCACATTTTATTAAAAATGACTAAAATATCACATTCCACAAAATTCAGAGGATATACTTGAGCCACACCTAAATAGGATTCAGTTTTTGATTTTCCTTCTCTCACTAGAGAGGAAGAACAGTGGATTTCCTCCACTTTCTAATTTCAAACTTTAATTTTTCCTTTGTAAAATTCTCCTTAAAAGAAACAGTTTTACTCATGACGTGTCCTAATTTTAAATTAAATGAGTAGCTGTATCATTCTCACAATATTCTTGTTAGAAGATTAATTTTATATTATAAAACTCTGAAAAAATAAGTTTTACTGAAGTTTATATATAAAATGATCAATTTATTCCCACCCACCGTCCAACATTCTTCTACTCTATTTACTTGAAAATATTCCTAAATAGATTATTTTTATAGTGGTTGGTTTGACTGAGCTGAGTATGATGGAAAATTGTTGAGGGCTGAGTTATTTTCCCAAAACAGAGTTTAAAAAAAGAACGATTACTGCCCCCAAAGAGTTCATGGGTTAATATCAGACAAAATATAAGAGAGTAACAAAAATGGTCGGGAGGAGATTGAAGTATCTTATCTAAAAGTAGTAACTGAAAGCCTATGCTGTCCCACGGGTGTAATTCTTAAAGTTGTGTGTGTGGTGTTGTTTTTAAATAAATGCCAAAAATGGCTCAGAACTAAACTGGATGGTGGTAAACTGAATCTCATTGATGATTCAACCTGGCGATGAACAATAAAAAACAACATTCTTGCAACCGTTTCTATCACTTCTCAGTGACTCAGCAGACATCCTGGGCTGCAGAGTGACAATCCTGGAATCTTCTTATAAAATGCTCCAAATAAACTGGTCTAAATTGTTACAATATTTTTTGAATTACTGGCTTCTCTTTAAAATTTTCTTTAAAACTAATGACATCATACTGCCACACCCAGCTTTCCTGAAAATAATAGATTTATTCATATTTAAACATTAATTGATCACAAATACCCTGTGTCCTATGACTTTTATGGAGTTTAGGATATTAAAGGTTTGTGCAGAATACATGTGTGATTCAAACCTTCGTTAAGCAATAAACTGTCTCCTTTTTTTTTAGATGAAAACAAAATCTTTTTTACCAAAAAGGATGGTAAGAATCAAATTTATTCTCTCCTGTGTCTCTCTCCTAATTTTCTGACTGATATTATTATAGGATGGAAAGAGGTAAAGTTTTCCAAAGTGCTGACCAGAATAAGTTAATCTCTGTGTCAGATTCTCGCATTAAGTCTTAGCTCCTTAACACAAGACTGGTGGAATGCCACTATTTCTCAATCTTTTCTGGTCCTGAGGGAAGTCGTGGTCAGGTAGAACTCAAGCAATACCCCCTTTGGAGTATATCAACATTGCCTTCTGAATATTGTGGTTAACTTCCTTGACCATGGTAAACAAAGGAACTCCCTGCAGGAATGAGCAGCACCCATTGTTCCAGCTCTCCTCTAGAGCTTAGTGATGCTCATCAAGTGGCCTTTCTTGGTTTCAGCCTTGTTTTCCAGCTGGATCTGGTTCAGAGCTCTAAATTCTAATTCTTTGCCTCAAGTGTTTTGGTGCACCTGTGGTGCCTTTTTGTCTGTGTGTCAGTTTCTTGTTTTCAACAGACTTAAGACCGTTTGTATCGGTGCTTGATCTGCTACTTTTTTGAATATGCTTGGGTTCAGTACTTCTTGGCACACGTTTCTCTTGTTGTTCTGGTGCTTCCCTTGACAGGTCAGGACTTGACCCATTCTCCTCCCCCTTGGTGTTTTGGCAAGTATGACAGTGAGGAAGAAAGAAAGTTTGGTGTCTTCACATCTTGGCCACGTTGTAGGACAGGGGTGGACAAACTTTTTGGCCCGAGGGCCAGACTTGTGGGGAGGAGGGAACTGCCCCCCCAGCACTTGCTGGCCACGCGGCTGGGAGCCAGGAGAGCGGAGCAGGGTCACTCCAGTTCCCGCAGGAAGTGGCCAGCCCGCCCCCCCAAGGAGGCCTGGGGCCCCACACAGCCCCCCCAAGGGGGCTGTGTATGGCACCAAAATAGCTAGGGATGGCCCTGCAACCATGATATGCAGGATATATCTGCACATGTCATCTGATGAACAAAAAGGTGTGGGAAGTGCCTCTAAAACGTTATTGAGGCACCCCAGAGAGAAAAGGCTAACCCGGAGCACTTTGAAGGGTAAATCCTTCAGGCTGAAACCTGAGTTAACCAAGACTACTGTGCCTTCTCTGCTCAAACCCCTAGTTTAGCAGTTTAAACTAAACCAGTTTAGTAAGAGTCGGGCAGTTTTACCACCAAATGCCTTGTGTAGTCATCAGTGAAGCTTTGCCAAGTGTTGGAATCTTGGGAATTTAAAGTCAAGGATATTGAGTGGTCTTTCCTCAGACGAGGCAGAGCCTCTGAGCAAGTGGTTGAATAAGGGGAGAAACTCTGCTATTCTCCAGCATGTCTGAACTTAAGCTCATACTTCAGATAGCTCCACACTGAGACGTCTGGATTTTCCCCTCTTGTGTGCCCAGAGAAGAGAAGCCAGTGATTTTGGGTAACTGTGTGTGCTCAGTAATCGAATCCAGGGCTCCTGGATCTCTCTGGAGAAGCCCCAAAGCCCACAGTAGCGTTCTGGAGACACGCCTCTAACTGTGCACCAGCAAAGGCAGTATGTCTTGGTGCAGCCAGAACGCTTTTTGCACTGAGGCAGATGCTTATGCCCAGAGAAGCTCTGCCTTAGACACCAGTGCCCACAGCACTTCCTGTGCAGGGGCTCCAATGGTACTGATGCTCCCAAGGCAATACTTCCCACACAACCTTAACTCTGCCCCCATAAAAGCTGGGAACTTCACCGTGACTTTCTCCTGCCTAACAGAAACTACCCTTTTCTCTGTGCCCACCACAACGCCAAATAAGGATTCTTATTCCTACACTCCAGCAGGACCCTCAGGGAGTGGGAAAAATTTTTGCTGATTGACAGAGATTAAATTAGATCCACTGAGCTACCTTTCTTCATAGTTTTCTTGTTGCACAATCACAATTAGTCTAGTAATACCTTAGGGGACTTCCTTAAACTTTCCAGTACTTCATTCAAGTCACACAAGACTAATACAGTATTCCCAAGCCCCCAGAGGAATGCTGTATTAAGGAACTGGTGTCACTACTGGGGCAGATTTAAGGTGGTTGTGTTGTGTGAGAAATCTCACTTTATATTTCTATATCCCGTGGTGGTGTTGCCATGTTGGTCACAGTATATTAGAGAGGCAAGGTGGGTTGGTCCAATAAAAGATATTCACCCACTTTACATTTTCCAGTTTTCTAACTCATGCTTTGTTTTTGTCTCTAATATTACAGTTGCATTCAGGAAGGCATAGGAAACCGTTTAATACCTGCAACTTTAACTCCACACTAACAATTATTTTGTGTTTTTTATGTTTATCATTTTTACTTTTAAAATTAGTATGAAAGTGAAGACAGACCAAGAGAGGTCAATTACAGACAATTTAAATCGGTGGAAATGAAACCTGAACTACTTAATGGCCACATACCATCAGGGTACATTCCTAAGCCTATAGTGATGCCAGACTACTTAGCGTGAGTGTTTTTGAAATTTTCCATTGTTTGTTTCATCAAAGAGGTGGTATTTTTTTCTATTGGCTTATTTTAGTATCTAACCACTTTTTCATACTTCATACTCTATTGGTCTCCAATTTCTTAGACATGAATTTTAAATAAGAGAATGATGGCCTGTGGACGTAGTATGTACATATTTAATATAAATGCATACTTTAAAAAATCAAAATTTTGTAATAGATTAAATAATTAAAATATCTAACAGAATATTTACCAAGGGGATGAGGAAAGGACATACAGTGATACAAAAATAACTGAGAGAATAAATGTACAGGCATTTCTTTGAACTTTTCTAGAACCTGCAATACTTGTTAAACAGTCTGACTGACAAAATCAGAATCAAACCTTAGCAAAGGAAATTTAGAAATGAGTAAAATTCACAGAAAGTAATAGTCTTTGCAAGCTAATGAAACGCCATAGGTCCATAAGGACATGTTTCAAATAATGTTAATTTGCATAACACTTAACTCAGATTTCAAAGTCTTGCGTATAACCTGCTGAAGTTTGCATGTGCTCAAAAAGCCACATTTACAGCTTTTTTGGAAAGTCAAAACTCCAGCACTAATAATCGTTTTTCTTATAGGAAATACCCAGCAATTCAGACAGACGATGAACGAGATCGCTATAAAGCTGTGTTTAATGATCAGTTTGCTGAATATAAAGAGCTCTCTGCTGAAGTTCAGGTGGTCCTAAAAAAATTTGATGATTTGGATGTATTGGTGAGCAAGCTGTCCCTTCACCCTGGAAACATGCTGGTAAGTAGCTAATTAGATGCGTGTGTTTTTAAAAAAATTAATCGCAAAGCCAAACTAATTTGTTTTTGAGAATTGAGCACAATCTTAAACAGCTAGACTGCCTATGGGAAGAGAGAGACCTGATAATGCTAAAGATGAACAAACAGGATGGATTTGATCTCCTGAAAACCTATTATCTTCATATTAAAGAAATAGTGAAACACTTCATAACTAGCTTTGACCCATATTTTCATCTGTTTTTATTTTAGTTGTTTTCAGTTAGTTTCCATCTTAATTGAAAGTTTTGACTAATTTTAGTTGTTAGTGTTGACAAATTCAAACTAATGTTTTCAATGAAAACAAAAACTAAGCTATATCTCAGTTCACCCATTTGACAAGTCTGGGTAGAACTTATGGGAGAACACTAACAACAAACATAAGGTTTTTAAAATGCTTCACCATTTTGTTTTAATAGGAACATGACAGAATTTCAAAAGTTCTGCAAGAATACAAAAAGAAGAAGAATGTGAGTATTTTCAGATTTACGTTTTAATACTAGTTTGCAACAGGGGCATAGGCATGGTGGGCCATGGCCCACCCACTTAGCATCCAGGCCCAGCCCCAGCACCCCAATCCCACTTCCTGGCAGGAGCACTGCGGGGGGGCAGAGTGGGTAGGGTCACGGGAGCTCCCATTTTTCTGGGCCCCACCCACTCTGCCCCCCTTGGCCCAGTGGCTAATCTGCCAATGGGAGGAGGGCAGGTGAGTGAGCAGGCAGCCCACCAGCAGCAGAGGAACCCTCCAAAAGGGTAGGCCTGCCGTTGGGGGAGCCAGGCCCAGTTTGGGGCAGTGTAGATGAGAACTGTTACCACTGGAGAACGCCATCTCCTCCCGGAGCTGGGTGCACACCTAGGGCTCAGGGGCCTCTGGCCAGAGCGTCCATCGCCCGCCGCAAGGCCGGCTGGAGGTGGGGACGAGGCGGCCCCGAACCCTCATGTCCTCCTTCCCCCACCCCCTTTTGTTGCCCACCCACCTGAAGTTGGGGCCCACCCAAGTGTCCCGTCCTGGCTATGCCGCTGGTTTGCAATGATAATCCAATGGGTGGTTAAGAGGATGTAAGTCAGTGGTGGGCAACCACTCTGCTGGCGGGCCGTGAGACAGTGTTTACATTGATGGTCCACAGGCACAGCCATCCGCAGCTCCCAGTTCACGGCCATTGGGAGCTGCGGGCGGCTGTGCCGGTGGATGGTCAACGTAAACACTGTCTCGTGGCCCGCCAGCGGATTACCCTGACTGGACGCAGGTTGCCCACCACTGATGTAAGTAGACAAAAGCAGCTTGAACAGCAGGCACAATCTATTAGTTAAGGGTATGCCCAGCCTTTGCATGTTACAGTGTTCAGTGTACCTGTCACATAAAACGCTGGAGACTTGAGAAAGCAGGTAAAGTTTGTTGTCCAACTCATTACAATTTCATGTTGGTTGCATCTTGTGATAGCTCTAAATATATAAACTAGATTTCAAAAGAAACCGTTGATGTTCTTTGGCTAAGATGTTTTTCTGTTTGACGGTAGGTCCCATATATTAATGTCTTGCCTTGAGAAGGCTTGCTAACATTGTTCAGTTATTTTTTTGGAACCAATCCATTTTCCATCCACACATGCAACAAAAAGCCAACATTCCTTGTAAGTGATAAAAACAACAAGGTACATATGCTTAATCTTGAAAGGAAGTCTCTCATTTTCTTTTTAATCAACTCTTTTTTGGGGGGGTGGGGGGGTGGACTATATATTAGTTGCAGAATAACTATTGCTGGAATCCAGAAGGGGTTCTATTTTATTGCTATTAAGTAGGTTAGGTAGGGGTGTGTGTGTAATTACTTGCATTCCAGTAAAATCTTGGCAATATAATCTCCTGATTTGTACCTTTTTGGTTTTTTTATTCAATGCAAATTGACGGTTCATATTAGTCTGTTTTGTCATTTGTTTTGTACATTCATTTTTTTTTGTTTGTTAAAGATCACCAGATACAAACCATCAGAACACAAATATATAACTGAAACAGGGCAGCACAACAAATAAAATTGCATTACTTTACTAAATGGCTAAAATATATCAAAACCACAGCCCGTTTTCCACCCACCAAGAAAGCAGGAAAAGGGCAGGTAGAAGAAATTATGTTCAGGAAAGAACAGCATGTGTTTGGAGGGCATGTATCCATATGCATATGTGCTGTCCTCAGCCAACTACATTATTGATTGTTCTTGGAGAAAACTGAAAGATACATTGTATTAATATGAGTTGTTCCTTTGCTTGTATATTTCTTGCAGGATCCTACATTTCTGGAGAAAAGGGAACGTTGTGACTATCTAAAGAACAAACTTTCTCACATAAAACAAAGAATTCAGGACTACGATAAAGTTATGAATTGGAACACACAGCCATAGTATCACTCTAACTTTATGTGGAAGCTGCTTAGTATATTGAAAGAGAAATGATTTTTAAATATTTATCTTCAAAATTATCAACTTCCTAATGTGAAACTGATTGCTTCCTCAATCAATGCCGATATGTAGTCTCTTTAAATCTTGTGCATTTCGAACCAATTTTGTACAGAATCATATTTTAAATGCAATATAACAAATAAGTTAACAAGCTGTTTTATGGCATCTACACTAATTGTATGTTTTATTAATAGATAAATGCCTAAGTCTGTCCCTTTTTATGCAGTCATAGGTATGGTTATTTTTACTCATCTGTTCTTCCTTTCTTTTGTCTCTCTCTTTCCATGTGTGCACCCTTTCCACCAGATCTGGTTCTTCTAGATCTAGTCAAGAACCTGTGCAGTAGTGCTGTAACAACCTCAGATAATGACTTGGTGTATTTCCTGTATAGTTAGAGCCCTGCAAATCTGCAGATATCCACTTCATATCTGCAGACCATGTTTGTGGATCAGATGCAGATACAAATTTTGTATCTGCATAGGGCTCTACGTATGGTACTGGAAAAAACTGCCGCTATGGAACTAGCACTCTCTACAAACCTCCCCTTGGTGACATAGGTAGAACTGCATGTGTTAAATTAAGGGAAGAGAACACCCAGAGGAACATGACTTTCTTGTTTTGAGAAAACTGGAGAGAGTAGCTGATGCAGGTAATTGTAAACACTAGGAGTCGAATGTACATAGTAAATTTTAAACTTAATTCTCAGTATAAAACCTCCCAAAAAAGTTATGGTACATAAACCATAAGCATCTGATGTAAATCCAAGTGAAATGTTTTTCACTGGTGAGACACAAGCCTCCAGAGATTTAGCGTACCTTTATACTAAACCTTACAATGTGGTCTGAATTTGTAAATCTGTTTCGTATCACAGTTGTAAATACTTACAAACTTATGCAAACAATGTCATCTTATATGAATTTTATCTTTGTATGAACTTTTTTTTACTAATTAAAATACACTAAAATTGTTTGTCATTTTCTCATCGGTATTAGCTTCTTCACTGAACAGTTTTCTAGAACCAATATGTCACTGGACATTTCATTATGAAATATGTTATTTAAATGTCCAAAACATAATACTTGCTATAAGTACTTGGAACCAATTGCTTTTGTTAGGATTACATCATGGCTTTTGTTAGTCTTTTTTCTGAAACTTTCCATGCTTGGTCTCAGTTTAGAAGGGATTATATCGCCAAGCTATCATCAGTTATTAACTATGGTAGCTTTCCAAGTGTAGAGGAGAGGTATGTTCACAGCTTCTAGTGTAAGGCTGTGGTGTTTCCATGTGACCTTACACCGCTGTTCTAAAGCACTGCAAGTGTCTGTAACTCAAAGCTACTTCTAGCTTCCCCCCCCCCTTTTTTTTAAAAAGAAATGGGGAACACTTAAAGTGAAAAGAATTATGTCACTGTAATATCAGTGATGGGTTTCAGTACTCAAGATATGAAATTGGGATCGTTGACTTTTCAGCATGCTATAAACTGGTCACATTGCTTATCCCATATATTTGAGAGCTTTATTATGCTACACACTTAAAAAGATAACCAGGAATAAAAACGTACATGCCACATGACCAAATGAATGTTAGTTCAAGAACCTAAACTCAGGTTCTGACAGCTGAGAATTTAAACTGTAAACCTAAGTTTTTTTACCAAACATACGTGTGTGTTTCTAGGTATATTGTAGGTAATCTCTTGTTAGTTTTAACAGCTGGTCTTAAAATGTGTGCCCATCCAAACAACCAGTAAATCTATAAAATACTTATCAGAAGGTTCATATGAGCTAGATTTAACATTTTTGGGGTACTATGAATTGAGCCTGTGAAGTTTCTTTTTTTTAAATATAATATTTTGTTTTATTTTTGGGGAATGTGGTGGTGTCTTTGTTTTGTCCCTTGGGGAATAGGTTGCCAGGTCCTGCTCTCAGGGGTTGGGGGCACTGGAGGGGGGTTGCAGAGTGAACCCACTCCACACTTGTGCAGCAGTGGCGGCTCCTGTCCCACAGGTCTGGGCCTGGCTGCCTGCTTTGGGTGCTTGCGTACGGGGTCACAGTGCCACTCTCAAATTTTGGTCCCACAGGATAGATGCCACTGGTTTGGGGTGAGATTTTTGTTCTATTTTGTTTTGTTTTTCATTTTATTTTGTGGTGTTTTTCAGTTAAAAACATGAGGCTTTAACTATGAAACATGGCTCTGGAATTTACACACACACATTTAACTTTCACATGTTCTATATTCTCTAGTATGTAGAAAGTTTCACTTGTCACAATCTGGGTCTGTTCTGTTTCTTGTGGATGGTCACCAGTCTCGTAAGCTCCCTGAGTCTGGGTAGTGACCATTCAATATTATAACTTTGCATCTCTCAGGCACACCCCCAGGTGCAGACGCTGTCTGGATTTTAACTGTTGTTGTCTTTCAATGTTAATGTAAAAGTAATCCACGACTGCTGCATGATTTCCTCCCTTCTATAAGAGAACTTGTGCTGCTTGTGTATATATGGCAAAGTTCTATTTCCATTGTTGGATCATATTAAAGAAGTTCTGTATAAAATCACAAATAAGTTTGATTCTCCATAGTTTAAATTCTAGGGTATTACTAATTAAGAGGTCTCTTGGTTTTTGGTACTGTTTCTCTCCCTCTGTGTGTGAAACTTGCAAGCTGCTAATTGCGTTAGTACATTCTAAGACAGAGTCTGTTCTCAAAGCAATTCACACAGAGAGAGAGAGAGACTCAAAGCAATACTCTGTAACAACAGAAACAGCACCCAGAGACTCCCCGCCCTTTTGTTGTATTAACAATTGTGATTAAAATAGAGATAGAGGATGTATGTGGATGGATGCTTGGTGTGGATAATAACTGAATGATCAGGGAGGTGCCAGCCTAAGAATCCAATGTCCCTCCGCTGAAGAAGGCGTCAAGTGGAAATAACCAGAGGACCCTCGGAGGGCAGACTGGAATCCACCCAACAGCCTCAAGAATGGGAGAACCAAAGAACAAGATAACATCTAGCAGCACGGAGCAGTCAGGAATGTGCTATCTGCTGATTGATTCAGCAACAGCATGATGAAGCAATTCCCATAGACTGACATAGGAAAAAACTCCTATAAAAATGGACTCTAGAAAGTGAGAACTTTGGGGTCTGATTCTGCAAACCAACTTCCAGGAGCATCAGATGAGCATTTGACAAGCCCCTGCTCCTCCTCATGTCCAGGCCACCTGGCCAGTGGCTTGGCATGAGCAACTCTAAGGCTGGTAACTATGATGATAACCTTGCAGAACCTGTGTGTGTATGAATGAATGTGTGAATAAATATGAAATTGAATGGAGTGTTTATAGCTATAACTGCTTACTATGATTCTTTCTGTATTCACAATAAATGTGGTATTTTGCCTTTTCCCCTTTAATAAGATCCTGATCCTGCTGGTTTTTATTTTATTGGTATAACACCACTGTGTTAATATCAGGATGAAAAAGCTGCATTTCATAAATGATTCTTACCACTTTCTGGACCATACAGTCAATGTACTTAAGGTTTGTGGTCATGGGGCAATTATTCTGATGTTAGTTTTAAATTACAGATAAATCTGCTGCATGAGCAGTTTTGCACACCTGATATGCTGCTTTTCATATAATTACTCTTGGGGAAAAAGATCTAGGAATTACCTGAGTTCTTTATCAAAACATGATATGAGAAAGAAAGAAAGGCCTGAGATATAGGAGAAATTCTTTAGGACAATGGTGCAACTACACTACAGTGATAAACTAGAACTGAGGCCGCACTATATGTAATTGCTCATACTGTTAGACGTATCATGTGTTAGTTCCCATTCATTTTAATAATCTGCTCTTTTACTATGATTCATGGCTTGGGTGAAAGAACTCTGCTCATAACTAATTGTTAAGTAGACACATGTAAAGAAAGCATGCCCTTCCATAATTTAGTGGAAACTTATGTGTTTTACTCCTCATAGCAGCTATTTATTTAGAAGCCTGTGTTGTTTTACAAAATGGTCTTTATGGTAGATGGTGAAAATAACTGAAGTCTATTCCTTTAACGAATGCTTAAGTATGAACTCTCATGTGAAGTAGTTATGAAAATTTTATTTTTGTTTAATCTGAATGTGGGCCTTATGTCAGCTTTACAGGTTTGAAGTTCTTCACCCATGCATGAGATATAGCTTAGCAGTAGCAATTTGTGCTATCAGTGTGTTTTGGCAGGGTTTACTGCTAGGATGTGAAGGTAGCAGAGTCTCTTTGTTCACTCAGGGCTTGTCCACACTTAAAACAGTGCAGTGGGGCAGCTAGGGTGGCCAGATGTCCTGATTTTATAGGGACAGTCCCAATATTTTGGCCTTTTTCTTATATAGGCTCCTATTATACCCCACTCCCGTCCCGATTTTTCACACTTGCTGTCTGGTCACCGTAGGTGCAGCTCCCCCGACCCCTCTGTTTAGGTATTCCACCCCCATGCAATGTAGTAGCTAGGTCAACAGGAGAATCACTGGGGGGGTGGATTTTTGTACTTATACTGACCTAATTTCCTAGTGTAGACCAGGCCTCAGTCTCTGCTGGATTTGCCAACTATTTACTCTTAGGGCACATCTACACTTGCAAAGTTACAGCGCTGCTCAGCGCGTGCTAAAGGAAAACCGCTGTTGTGTGTTCACATTGACAGCTGTCTGCGCAATAGCGTGTTCACGCTTGTGGCGCTATTTGAAGTGATGTACTCTGGGCAGCTATCCCACAGAGTACCTCTTTCTCTTTTGCTGCTAAGACCTGTGGGAAGGCAGAAGGGGAACGGGGCTTCCTGGGTGCTGTCCCAATGCCCCGTGATGCATTGCTTTGAATCCTAGCAATCCCTGTGCTTCAGTCCGCATTTGGCGCCATCTTTCAACGGTTTGTGTACTGCGTGCCCTGCCCTGCCTCTTTCGGGCTGCAGGAATGGATCCCGAGCTGCTGACCAGTATGCTGCTCGTCATGAATGGCAGTGGAGTTATTCCTTAAATTACGAAGGCAAGAGGAGTGCGACATTGATCTTGCCACGCATACTAGCTAGGCCACAAGATTGCTTGTGGCATTCACAGAGGTGCTGAACACTGTGGAACGCCACTTTTGGGCTCAGGAAACAAGCACTGAGTGGCGGAATCACATTGTGATGCCCGTCTGGGATGACAAGCAGTGGCTGCAGAACTTTTGAATGAGGAAAGCCACATTCATGGGACTGTGTGATGAGCTCGCCCCAGCCCTGCGGATACAAGAATGAACTGCCCTGTCGCTGGAGAAGCATGTGGCGATTGCACTGTGGAAGTTGGCCACTCCAGAGTGCTACCAATTGGTCGCTAACCAGTTCAGAGTGGGAAAGTCGACCACTGGAGTCGTGTTGATGGAAGTGTGCAGCGCCATTAATCGCATCCTGCTCCGAAAGACTGTGACTCTCGGCAACATGTGTGATATTGTGGATGGCTTTGCACAAATGGGTTGCCCTAACTGTGGAGGAGTGCTCAATGGCATGTATGTTCCAATTCTGGCACCAGACCACCTAGCCACTGAGTACATTAATTGCAAGGGGTATTTCTCAATGGTTCTCCAGGCGCTTGTGGATCACCGTGGGCATTTCACAGACACTAACATAGACTGATCCAGAAAGGTCTTGAACTGGCCTGTTCAAGAAGCTGCAAGCAGGGACTTTCTTCCCTGACCAGAAGATTAGGGGAGTCCGTAGGGGAAGTCGAAATGCCCATCATGATCCTGGGAGACCCTGCCTACCCCTTAATGCCATGGCTCATGAAGCCATACATGGGGCAACTTGACAGCAGCAAGGAGTGGTTCAACAACAGGCTGAGCAGAATGACTGCGGAGTGTGCTTTTGGCCATTTGAAAGCTCACTGGCAATACCTGTATGGGAAGCTGGACATGGACGATGACAGTATTCCTGTGCTTATAGCCGCGTGCTGTATGCTCCATAATATTTG